AGCTTCACACACACAGACTGGGACATACGCGTAACCCACCCCCAAGCCCCCGCAATCCGAGCACAAATACACAATGGATGGGCAGCCACAAGCAGGTGGGAAGGCACACAGACAGACAGACAGACAGACAGACAGACAGACAGACAGACAGACAGACAGACAGGTACACACAGGGACTCAGCCACACGCACAGCCTCTACACAGGGAACCAGCACAGCCACACGCACAGCCTCCACAGACTGAAGCTAACCCAAACAGGACACACACACAACCATTTCAGGATAACCTCCACCCCAGGCACACGCAGAACTGCCTTTCCCAAGGGACTTGCAGGCAGGCAGAGCCCCACTCCCGGTGGTGTCTCGCCCAGGCTGACTGACACTCTGACAGGCTCTCCTCCTCTCCCTCCCCCTCTCGTGCCTGCCGGAGCAGCCTCTCCATATTTCTTCTTCTCACTCTCCATCGCTCTCTTCCAGCTCCTTCACTCCTGGCTGCCCCCTCCACACACACCCCAAGATAATTGATGGCCCGGGCCTGGCCCCGTTGCTCCCTCCTGTCGATCCATCTTGTACTCGCATCAGCGCTGTCTCCTGGATCCCTGCCACCCGAGACAGGCCAGCACGGTGGGCTGGCAGGGGGACCCCTCCACGCTAAGCAGCGGGGGACAAGAGAGGGGTGCCCTTTTTATCTCCCAGCTTCAACCGGTGGTCTGGGATTCTTGTCTGGTCAATTGGTTTTTAGAGGCCCCTCCCGGAAGCGGAAGGAAGGAGCTGGTCTCTGCAGAAGCCAGCCCTTTCCTGATGCTGGGTGTTGAGGGTGCCACGGCAGGGCCATCACTGGGAACATCACAGGACAGACTCCCCAAAAGGGTCTCCCCTTTTCCCTCCTACGCCAAAACTGGCTTCGTCTTTTCGCCCACACTGGAGCTCTGTGACAACCCAGGGATCATCAGGTCATTTTCACAGAAGCTAGGATCCAGACACATGGAGTGACTTGGTCAAGACCACAGAGCTCGAAAGGGCTACAAGGTCTAACCCAAAACACTCCTGAGCCACCGCTGCGGTCTGCCCAGTCCAGCCTCTCTCCTTTCTTCCCACACAGGCGGTCAGTGGCCAGATCGCGGAGTCAGGAAGGCCGCAGTATCTGGAACTGCGACCCGCCATGGCCGGAGGGGGCGCCCGCAGCCAACAGCTCCCGGCGCCCGGGTCTTCCGAGGGCCTGGGCACTGCGCGCTCCTGGAGCTGGGCCTGGCCCTCTAACCACACCGGGGCGCTGGCCAAGCCCGGGGCTGCCGGCGGCCTGCCCGCACCGCGCACCAAGAGGAAGCCATCCATTAAAGCGGCCCGCGCCAAGAAGATCTTCGGCTGGGGGGACTTTTACTTTCGCGTGCACACCCTCAAGTTCTCGCTGCTGGTGACCGGCAAGATCGTGGACCATGTGAACGGCACCTTCAGTGTGTACTTCCGTCACAATTCGTCCAGCTTGGGTAACCTGAGTGTCAGCATCGTGCCGCCCTCCAAGCGCGTGGAGTTCGGGGGCGTCTGGCTGCCTGGGCCTGCCCCCCATCCTCTGCAGTCTACGCTGGCACTGGAAGGGATGCTGCCTGGACTGGGGCCCCCTCTGGGGATGCCGGGGCAGGGGCTGGGGGGCAACCTTGGCGGCGCACTGGCGGGCCCACTCGGAGGCGCTCTGGGAGTGCCGGGAGCCAAGGAGTCCCGCGCTTTTAATTGCCACGTGGAATACGAGAAGACAAACCGCGCTCGCAAGCACCGCCCGTGCCTGTATGACCCCTCGCAGGTGTGCTTCACCGAGCACACGCAGAGCCAGGCCGCCTGGCTCTGTGCCAAGCCCTTCAAAGTCATCTGCATCTTCGTCTCCTTCCTCAGTTTTGACTACAAACTGGTGCAGAAGGTGTGCCCAGACTATAACTTCCAGAGTGAGCATCCCTACTTTGGGTAGCGCCCCTGGCCTGAGCCCCCCACTACATCGCAGCCTCGCTAGGTGGGACCCTTCCCTGTACCCCATGCTCCTGTGACTGCCCCCACTTCTTCCACTGTGGGTCGGGTGGAGGAAAACACCCTTCCCCGGGACTATCAGCCAGCGTGGTCCTCCATTTCCTTTTGGCCCTGAGTGTCCCCGAGGCTGGGGTGGTCTCAAGCGCTAATTTGGAGGGGCAAGAGCACAGCCCCAGAGTGGGCGGGCTTGGAGGCTTTCTTAGGGTTCCCTATGAATACGTATTGGTTCCCCTTCTGTCCACCCTGCAGCTTTAATGACGCCTGGCCTGACCCTCTTTCTTACCCCAAGCGCGCTGGTCCTACCCACCCCGCAAGACTGTAAAAGGCTACAAGCCCCAGCCCACCTAGCCCCTTCCCTTTCGGCGTGCCCTGTGTCAGCCCCCTTTCCTGCCAACCTTACTGAAGTAAAAGTCCTGAGCAGGGGTCTCTGCCCCCCACCCTACCTCCGTCCCTCCCTCCCGCGCCCGCTCGCCCGCCCACCTGCAGCCCGGCTCCACCTGCCCTCTCTGGCTGCTCGGTGATATTTTTTTTCTACGCCAAAACAGACGGGAAAGAGAACAAAATAAAGTGAAATCCAATACTAGCCTGTGTGAGACCTTTGTAGGAAAGGGGGCCGGGCAGGTGTGGGTTTTGTCTGGTAGAGGCTGAGCCCAGGCCTCCTTTCTTGACGGCTGTTGGGGAAACCGAGGCAAAGGCTAACAAACTCAGCACTTTGTGTCTATCTGAGACCTCAAATGGGTGAAAGTCAGCCCAGGTGGGGCTTGTCCTTCAAAGGAGAGTGAGTGGTAGTAGAGGCAGATAGAGTGGGGATTAAACCTAAAGTGAGACTTCCGGCGGTGTATTTGGGAGACCTAGGGGGAGGGAGAAGCTGGGACAGTGTAGGCCGAGCGCAGAAAGCCCGCTAAGCTCCACGAGGCTGGAGGGAAGAGGCAGGTTGGGAGGGAAGGGGAACGGTGTTTGCGGCATCTGGAGTCATCGATCTTCCTTTCCCTTCCTAATTTCGTGGGCGCTGAGTTTGCAGACGGATGAGCGAGGAGGAGAGCGCTGGGATGGGGTGATGGGGGAAGGGACGGTGCAGGTTTGGAGGGCGGGGCAGAGTCGCTGCTGGTAGCCGCTAGCAAACAGCCCCCTTCAGCCAGCTGCCCACCCCCTCCACCTCCGCCTTCAGCTCCCTCCTGCAACCTCGGCTGCTAATTTTATCCGCCCCCAACCCTGGCCAGGGCGTTAATTGGCTGCTGCTTCATTAGCAGTTCTCAAGCTTAGCAGCCCCCTCCCTTGGGGACCCCTGACTGGGGCTTGGGGCGGGGGTACAGACAAGCTGAGGCACAGTCTCTCTTCAGCCAGACTTCACTGGAGTCCCTGGTAAAGGTGCCCACAGAGGAGAGAGCGGTGCCCTCCACAGGGTGGCCCACAGCTCAGTCGGATACTGAGTAGAGAGGCGGATCTGACGGAAAACTCACGGGCAGGCAGTAAGTATCTGGAGCTGGGGATGTAGCTCTTACCCTGGGTTCAACACACAGTAAATGACAGGAGGGTAAGAGCCTGTTGGGGTGGGAGGAGGAAGATGGGAGTGTTAGCTACCCGGGCCTGCTATGGAGTCACCTGGAGAACTGAAGCTGTGGAGGGACAGCAGTCAGCACTGAAGACACTGAGCCCTCGTGGGAGACCCCGGGGGCAACGCCCAGGGTGCGAAGACCGGAACCAGCAGGCTTTGGCCTCAGACCCCTCACCTGCAACTCCACAATAAAGTAGCATGTGTTCGTATGTGAGACCCTAGATTCTGTCTGTAGCACCAAGAGGAAAACAGAACAAAACCGAGCTCACAGTGGAGACTGCGTGTCCTTCCTTGGATGATCCTCTCCCTGTCACTCACAAACATTCCTCCTCCAAGGCTCTGTCCTCCCACTCCTAGTGTATGTGAAAACAAAATGAGGTGTCAGGAGTTGTCACTGATTACCCAGTGAGCCAGCCCTGCCTCTCCAGGGCTAAAGGCATAGCTCAGTGTCTATAAAATGGCTGTGTGGGGCAGTGAGTCTCAAAAATACGGCTTACTGGAACCCCAAGAGCAGTTTGCCTGTGCGTCTTCGATGGCTGACTTTGAACTAGAGGTTTTAAGATGTCCCCAGCTCACGTAGACTCTTCCCCTGGAGAAGTCAGGGAGTCCTCCACGATTACTCAGGTCAGTTTCAGGACCTCGGTGACTGCTGGGATATCATGCAAATAAGCAGTGACATGCAACAAGTGTGACAGGAGGAGAAGGCTCACTCTGCTCTCAGCAGAGGTGGACCTGGACGGTGACGGAAGCAGGTTTGTGAGCTAGGAGATCAATCCACAGGGGACTTTGTTCACGGGCAAAACTCCATTTAATCCGAACCATGAACTCCCTTTTTATGTTTGGGGGGTGGGGTGTGACAGGCTCACTTGTGTCCACTGGCCTCCAGCTTCATGTGTAGCTAGATGAGGCTAGCCTTGAACTCCTAGCCTTCCTGCCTCCACTTCCCGTAGTGCTGGGATGACAAGCATGGCCCATCACGAGCATTTTACCGGGGTTTTACAAGCGAAGAAACCAAGGACCAGCGAGGCTATTTTGCTGTAATCCCAAATAGAAGATTTGGGTCTTCTATGGTTTCAAAGTATATCGGCTTCCACTGTGTCAAAGTTCTTTACTCTGTGTGTGTGTCTCTGAACCTCCCAGAGGACGTTATAGTGCTGGCTACTTGGTAGGCTCAAGCCAAACCAAAAAAAAAAAAAAAACCAACAAAAAAACGAACAAACAAACCAAAAAGCGCTTGTCTGGACAACTGGTAGGAAAAACGACAACAACAACACAATAATAACAACCCTGAACTTGAAGACCCTTTCAGGCAACCCAGAGGTACAGATGAGAAAGAAGGATTAAGAAAAACTACAATTCCCAGAAGGCCATTTTCTAAAGACCGGCGATGCGCATGCGCATGCAACTCCCCTTTAGCTCCGGCTTCGCGGGGGTATTTTCTCGCGCATGCGCCCTAAGACAAGTCGGCTTCCGACCCCCCCCTCCCTTTTACTACTCCGGACCAGAGTTGGTGGCTGGTTCTGCTGTGACCTCTGGTAGCGATGGTACCCTTCTCTTTGCTTTGGACCACTCGGGTAAGGACGGGGGTATGGATGTTGGATGGCCAGTGGAAAGGCCCACCCCACTTTAGTTCCTTTTCACAAAGTGGGGTTCCCCTGGCTCCTTCACCGCACGTGTTCCGGGGCCTCGGGGAGCGGATGCTTAAGCAGGAAACCCCTGAGCCTCCTGGGCTCACGTGCGGTGCCTGGGCTCCTAGTCCTGGCGATCGAACGTCCCAGGGTCGGTGATCGCCCGGTTCCCATGCTCCAGGTAAAGGTCCGGAGACCCTGTGTTAGCAGTGTCCCAGCGAACAAGTGGGGTTCCCGGCTCCGATGTGCTAGTTTAATTTTTCCCGCCAGCTCTGAGCTGTGGAAATGATGCAACCGGGCCTCCGTGCTTTCATCAGGCAGGGGTCCCGCTGCAGCGTGGGCGGAAGGAAGTAGGGAGGTGTTCTGTGTGTGTGTGATAAAATTAAGATTTTTGACTTCCCTCTGGGCAAACACCTTCCCTCTACCCCCACTCCCTCCAGTACACACCTCTTCCAAGAGCTGCTTAAAAGTCTATTTAGCCGGGCGTTGGTGGCACACGCCTTTAATCCCAGCACTTGGGAGGCAGAGGCAGGCGGATCTCTGTGAGTTCGAGGCCAGCCTGGTCTACAGAGTGAGTTCCAGGACAGCCTCCAAAGCCACAGAGAAACCCTGTCTCGAAAAACCAAAAAAAAAAAAAAAAAAAAGTCTATTCAACTTTGGTTGCTTTGGAAACTACCCTACAGCCTGTGGCGTGTAAGCCCTGTTAACTTGCTGTCTTCTCTCGTTGGGGTAGTCTCTTATGGAGGCCCTGCACAAGGTCCCTCCCCCATTATGTTCATGAACCTTTTGCCTACATGTATGGATGTGCATCGCATGCATGTCCAGGTACCCACAGAGTTCAAGAGGGCATGGATCCCCTGGAACTGGAGTTACAGATGGTTGTGAGCTGCCTGGGTGCTGGGAGCTGAACCTCTGCCCTTTGTCCTGTCCAAGAGCAACAAGTGGCCTTAACCACTGAACCATCTCTCCAGGCTCAGGAAGGCCCTCCTGGGGAGACCCTGGAATCTAGTCTCTCTAGTGGATTTGCTGTGTGACCTTGCAGGGGGACTCACATGGTGAGATGGAGATCTGGTGGGGGTTGAGTAGAGCTGATCAGAACTGCCCTTTGGATACTGATCTGAACCTTGACTCTAGAACTTGCTTTTCAAGGTGAAGGTGGGGGTGGTGAGAACTGAGTTGGCTAGCTGGACCAGGCTGCCTGCTTAGCCAGAGGGCTGTCTGTACCCATGGTGGAGGGTAATTGGGAGAGGTCTGGACAATTTTTAATCAAATCCTGGCTCTTCTGCCCTAACCCTCTGCAGAGATGTGGTCAGCTGGTCTGGATGGCTGCTCGGGCTCAGCACAGTAAGGTGGCCCAGACACAGGCTGGGGAAGCAGCTGGAGGCTGGACAGGCCAGGAGACTTTGGCAGAGAGTGACCCTGAGATGTGGGAGCTACTCCAGAGAGAGAAGGACAGGCAGTGTCGTGGCCTGGAGCTCATCGCCTCAGAGGTAGGGAATGAGGATATGGGCCAAGGAGTGAAAACCAGGAAATAACACATCGTCTTACTGACGTTTCTCCTGGGCTTTCTCCCTCTTTGTACTATCCCTGAAACATTAAGCAGGACCCGTCCAGTATATGGGGCTGGGGCACCAGGGAGCTTCCAGAGCCCCTACAGTTTCATCTCTTCCTTACTTCTCTTGTCAGAAGAAAGAGGAAACACGGGTTGAGTGCACTGCACTGGTAGCCTTCCTGGGGCCACCCGTCATGGTGGCTGAGTTTTTGAGAATGCTGCTTCTGGCCTTGCCTCATGCCTGGCAAGGAGCCCAGAGTGCACAGAGCTTTTTATGCATCCTGTCTCCATCCCCTCCAGCCTGTGGGCTCTGATGGGTGGGACTGTGGCAAGGGGCTCATCGCCTCTGACATTGCCCCCCACCACCCCAGAACTTCTGCAGCCGAGCGGCGCTGGAGGCCCTGGGGTCCTGTCTGAACAACAAGTACTCGGAAGGTTATCCTGGCAAGAGGTGAGGGCTAGACCGAAGGGCTGGAGGGCAGCATCAGGGATGGCACTCCTAGTGGCGGGACCCTCTTAAACCCCATCGGTGCTTATGGGGCAGTGGCCTTCCCAGCCCTTGGCTTTTCTCTGTGCCCTTATGTACCCTCTCCATGGTAGATACTATGGAGGAGCAGAAGTTGTGGATGAGATCGAGTTGCTCTGCCAGCGCCGGGCCTTGGAAGCCTTTGATCTGGACCCTGCGCAGTGGGGAGTCAATGTGCAGCCGTACTCGGGATCCCCAGCCAATCTGGCTGCTTACACGGCTCTTCTTCAACCCCATGATCGGATCATGGGGTTGGATCTGCCCGATGGGGGCCAGTGAGTATGGATAAGTAAAGGGTTTGGTGGGCAGCGATGACAAAGACAAGAGTTATTAATACAATCAGGCACCTGTCCCGTGTTAAAGCCTAGGAGGCTGGGGCAAGGGAGAAGCAGTGTTTCAGGGACAGGCCTTGGAGGTGGGCTGGAAGTGACTGGTTAAGTCAGGTTATTTCACTCAGAGATCTCTTTCCTTTCTAGCCTCACTCATGGCTACATGTCTGATGTCAAGCGGATCTCTGCCACGTCCATCTTCTTCGAATCTATGCCCTATAAACTCAATGTAAGTGTTCTAGGGGCCTGGGCACTTGGCCCTGATGGTTTGTTCTTGGCCAGTGGGCGGACCTGGAGGTCTGGGCAGCCTTCAGCATGAGCTCCACCTGCTGCCACCTCAGGGCTTTAGCTGGTTGTCTGTCTATCCAGCCCCAAACTGGCCTCATTGACTACGACCAGCTGGCGTTGACTGCTCGGCTTTTCCGGCCACGGCTCATCATAGCTGGTACTAGTGCCTACGCCCGTCTCATTGACTATGCCCGCATGAGAGAGGTTGGTGAGGGGCTGGACATCAAGCACACACCCCCCGCTGGGGGCGGGGCTGGGAAGGACGACTCCCCTGTATACACTGTTTGGGTCTTCCCCGGGCTGAGACGTGTCTCTCTACGTGCCCAGGTGTGTGATGAGGTCAAGGCACACCTACTGGCAGACATGGCCCATATCAGTGGCCTTGTGGCTGCCAAGGTGATCCCGTCACCTTTCAAGTATGCGGACATTGTCACCACCACCACTCACAAGACTCTTCGAGGGGCCAGGTCAGCATTCCCTGGGGTTAAGACCTTGCTAGGGGACTTGGATGGAGTGAGGTTGACCCCTTTAACCACTGGGATCCAGTGCCCCGAGCACAGTTGAGGGGACTCGAGCCTCGGTGTCTAAACCGGCTATCTCCTCACCATCTCTTGTCCGTTACGGGCTTAGATCCCGACTGCCTGTCTTCCGTGTAGGTCAGGACTCATCTTTTATCGGAAGGGAGTGCGGACCGTAGACCCCAAGACTGGCCGAGAGATCCCTTACACCTTTGAGGACCGAATCAACTTTGCTGTGTTCCCGTCCTTACAGGGAGGGCCCCACAACCATGCCATTGCTGCAGTAGCTGTGGCTCTCAAGCAGGTCGGGTTGGGGTGCATTGCTCTGGAGGCTCTGCCTCCTTGTGGCTGAGACCGACGGAAAGGAGGTGGCTGGGGCGGGAGGCGGCATGGCTTGCTGGGTACAAGTACTAGACAGGGCCCCTGCTCAGCCCGGGGTGACGGGCCACTGTCTCACCTGTAGGCCTGCACCCCCATGTTCCGGGAGTACGCCTTACAGGTGCTGAGGAATGCTCAGGCCATGGCTGATGCCCTGCTAAAGCGAGGCTACTCGCTGGTGTCCGGTAAGCCAGTGGATGGGTGAAGACCTTTGTGGCCTCGGGCAGAGACCTGGGTGCCCCAACCCCCATCCCTGTCCCCTCAGGTGGCACTGACACGCACCTGGTGCTGGTGGACCTGCGACCCAAGGGCCTGGATGGAGCCCGAGCTGAGCGCGTGTTGGAGCTTGTGTCCATCACGGCCAACAAGAACACCTGTCCTGGAGACCGCAGTGCCATTACTCCCGGGGGCCTGAGGCTTGGTGAGACCTGCGGTCTGAGGAGGGAAGGGTTTCCACGCTGGGGGTTAGTTGCCTGTGGTGATCCTGACTGCGAATTGCCTGTCTCTGCTCTCTCTCCCAGGTGCCCCGGCACTGACTTCTCGGCAGTTCCGAGAGGATGACTTCCGTAGGGTCGTTGATTTTATCGATGAAGGAGTCAACATTGGCTTGGATGTGAAGCGTAAGACTGGTGAGGAACCCCAAACACCCCCAGCCGAGCAGTTTTCACCATCCGTCTGTCTGTCTGTCCCAGCTCACCCCCCTGCCTAGAGCTCTGACCATCTTTTCACACCTGTTTTTGTTTTCAGCCAAGCTCCAGGATTTCAAATCCTTCCTGCTCAAAGACGCAGAAACAAGTCAGCGTCTGGCCAACCTCAGGGAACAAGTGGAGCGCTTTGCCAGGGCCTTCCCGATGCCCGGGTTTGATGAACGCTGAGGACCCGGGGACCAAGGCCCAACACTGGAAGTTAACCCTTCTTTCTGCCTACCTGGACCACAAAAATGACATCACTGATCTTTCTGGGTTTCGGTGGAGGGAGGGAGGGAGGCCTTCCGTTTAGGGCAAGAGCCAGGTATCTGTTTTGTAGCCATTTCTAGAGGTCCCCAACACACACGTGAGACAGGGTCTCACTTAGCTGAGGCTGGCCTTGAACTGACCCTCCTACCTCCATTTCCCAAGTGTAGGTATGCACCATCACACCCAGCTTCACCCTCCCGACGCTGGCTGCTCCAACCCTCTGCCTTCTCTCAGTGTTACAGACTCTCGCTCTTTCTTGGGGAGGGGGAGTTGCGTGCAGAGCCAGAGGAAGGGGTGGGTAGGCACTCTCCTTCCTGTTTTTATCTAATAAAATGCTAACCTGCCCGGAGTTCCTATTATTGTGGGAGGGGTCCCCTGGGCCAACATGTATTTCTCCTTCCCTCCCGCCACCACTAGGACCCCCGGGGCTGTAGCCTCCTCTCTCTGTCTCTGATCAGAGCCGACACCAGACGTGATTAGCAGGCGCAGCAAATTCAATTTGTTAAATGAAATTGTATTTTGCCCACGGCTGCTTCTGTTTGATCCCCAGGGACTGAGGAGCAAGGGAAGGGAGGGGTAGGGAAAAGCAGGGAGGCCCAGGTGCAAGGTGGGAGGGGGTGTCGTTGAAGGTGGGCACAGGCTTAGGCAGGAGAGCAACACTCCTCATGGTGGAGGCCCATCCTAGGCAGACTTGGGTAGACGGGATGAGCCCAGCCGAGCCTGGGCAGCTGCTCCCCCAAGCCTGGCTCAAAACTTGCCCTAACGTGGGGCCTGCCACGTCGCTTGGCACTCAGGCCCCTGCTTGCTGTTGGCACACGTCTGACACGCTCAACACGTAGCCTGTGCCACACCCAGTTAGCTGTAGGGGGGTAGGAGGAGAGGAATTGGCTTGGGCCTTTTGGGTCGATCCCAGCTTCTGCCTGAAGTCTTGGCTCCCCACCCCCACCGTGGGACTCAAGCTGAGGGTCAGAGGTTCTTCCTCTACTGGGAGCAAGGGTGGGGGTGGGGCCACCTCCCGTCCCGTCCGCGTGGGAATCTAGCCCATGAAGCAAAGGCTGGACAGTGTCGCCAGACTGACGAGCTAGGGTCTGAGGCCAGGGATGGGAGAAAAGCCATACATGGGCCTCTCGCTCTGCCTTAGAAGTCTGGCCGGTCCTTCTTCAGCTTCTTGTAGTCAGTGGAAACAGCAAGGAACTATGGAGAGGAAGAAGAACTGGAGTCTCTCTTGCCCCCTTTTGTTGTGTGGGGTGCAGATCTAGGGCCTAGCGAGGGGCAGGGAGGGGAGCACTTTAGGTCCAGTTACCTTGTACTGGTCATTGGGACTCATGCGGTTCCAGGGCTCAGGGTTGTTCTTTCTGTCCCAACTGTAACGGGAATAGGAAGGTTAGGGTCCCTTCTGGGATCTGGACACTGACATTAAACAAACCCTCACAGTCCAGAACGACAGTGTAGCCCTTAGATTTCCCAGGGTTCCTGCCTCCCCTAGACTCTGCTCAGAGCAGAGGCCTGGGAACCAGGAGAAACCCTGAGGAGTGGCAGGACTTAAGTGGTGTCTCAGACTCCGGGGGCAGGGTGGGTAGGTGTTTTAACCCCACTGCCAGACCTCCAGCACTTGTGGGCAGGTGTAGAGGTGCCTAAAAGCCAGACATGGCCAGTAGAGCTGTGTCGCCATGGCAACCCTGTGGCGAGCTGGGCTGGGAATTCCAGATGCCCCACGTGGCTGGCCACTGACAAGTGAGCCCCCAGGTGGTCCAGACGGGGGTGGGGGTCTCTCCGGTCAGGTGTTCCTCCCTCCGATGCTGGGTGGTACGATGGAGATAGGGAACCAGGCACTGCATCCCTTCCCTCTAGGATCACCCATTTCCATCATTCCTCAGCAGTCCCGTTTGGCTCCGCCCAGGACCCCTGCTTGCCTCCCAAACCCCCGTAGTTACCAGACATCCGGGCTACGCAGTGCGAGTCGCAGCAAATAGAGCCCAGCACTGCCCATGCCCAAGCAGATGAAGCCAATCATTGGGATGAGCTGCAGGAAGAACCAGGTGCTCTGAGGGTCTGAACTCCACAGGTCCCACTCACCCGGTGCCAGCGTTTCCTTTTATCTTTATGCAAGGTCTGGTGACACCCTCCCGTTTGGGAGCGAGACCTGAAGCCTACAACCACATTTTCACCGTACTCTCCCTTCCTCTGAGATGATCCTGCCCAAGGAAGATTCCAGGGACATGGGATATATTACAGATAGAATGTGGGATGTCCCTGGAAGATTTTGGAGCATTAAGGAAGCCAGACAGGAGGCAGGGTTTAGGGGTTCTTGAGAGGTGGGGTGGCAGGAGGGAAGTTAGAGTCTGGGGACTGAACTCACCCCGGGGTGTCTTTTTATCTGCCGGTAGAAGCGGGCCCCTGCACTGGTTCCTGCCATCTTTCTCCAGTGTCTAGGCTCTAGTGGATCTGCTCTATTCCTCCCCCTGGGGTACCGCCCCCCATCGGGGAGGGGTCAGCCTAGCCCAGTCAGCCCCACCCAGCTGGTTTCTTCCCAGCAGTGGCAAAGAAGGCTGGAGATAGTTGGGGAGCCTTGAAGTTTCTCCTTCCCAACTCTCTCTTACTGATGGGCGAACCCCGGCCTACGAGACACCATTATACTTTTGGGTCTTTGGGTATCTGGAGGAGGGACCAAGGAACAGTGACGGGCATCTATCTACAGCACTTTCTCTACACCCGGACCCAGAGCCTCCCAGGAGCTAGCAGGCCTTCAGAACAGAGTTCTCTCTCAGCCATACTGAGCAGAAGGGGGGCAAGTGAGCATTGCTAGTGACTGCCAGCCCTCTTGTTCTGGGCAGGCGTAGTTAGGGACAGAGGGTGTAGGTCTAGGAGTCTCTGCACTGCTCCAGATGTAAGACTGGGGCAGTTTAGGGACTTGAGACGTGAAGGTAGAATTCTCTCCAAGGAGGCCACCGTACACATCTCTGGCTTTGGGATTCGAGTTCTGAATGAAGGAAGTGGATTTAGAAAGAAACAGGAAAGAGAACAGTCAACTCAGGTATATGCTCTATTGCCAGGGCAGGAAGTTTCCCACCCTCCATCTTTGGAGGACTGGTTTGGGGACGGGGTGAGCTTCATATTCTCACTCCCATGTTAATTCCCATCACCCCCTCCGCTTGGCTTCCACGGCTGTATCCTGCGAAACTCCCCCATCTCTTCCCTAAAGAACTCGTCCTCTGGTGGGCACCTGCTGGGATGAGCTGTGTACCCGCCACCTCCTCCCTACGGCCCTTCCTGAGGGGCCCCTCCCTTTCTTACACACCGATACCTCGCCCGCCCCTTGAGCTGACAAGCTCTGCTGTAATTAGGCTGCGGGGTCCGGGCTCTCCGCCTCCCTCCGGCGGATAATGAGATAAAGTGTCAGAGACGTGGGGAGAACAAAGAGACAGAGACTCGCTGAGATGGGGTGGGGGTGGGGTGGAGGAGGGGGACTGATGGGCTGTCAGAGCCTGTAGCAGGGTGGGGGCCATCAGCACCTCTAGGGCTGGGCCAAGGAAGATGTGACCTGTCACCAGTACCCCCACCCCCAGCTTGGGCTGCTGGTGCTAAATAACAGTCCTGAAGCTCTGACTCTAACAGCTGCCCAGCTGGGCTGCACATCTGGCGCTCCGTGGCACAGTTGGGGAGCTGGGGCTCCGGGAGGGACGTTTGGCCATGCTTTACGCCCCTTTGCTCTTGGGCCCTCGCTTGCTTAGTTCTCGTGGCCTAGGCCTGGGGAGACCCAGCGCCTGTCCTGGTACCTCCGCTGTTTCTCCTCCCCTGGGTCTGCAGGCCGCTCTTAAGCTCAGTTATTATTACATTGTCACTTCGGCTCTTGCCTCTCCGAGACTTCTCAACACTTCATCTGCTCCTGATCCGGGTCTCTGTGGGCCTATCTCTGAGACCCCTCCCCTCCTGTGTTCCCATATCTGGATCGTGGTCCTTGGGGTTTCAGACCCATCCCCATCTCCTTCCCTGCACTGTCCCCCTACAGTAACTCAGGCCGTGCTGGCCCAGCAGGTGAGGGACAGCAAGAGTCGTTAGCCGAGGATTAGGCACAACCCACGGCCCCAAGGGGACCAGACTCTTCAACTCTAAACCGCTCCAGGATACTAATCCGTGTGGCGGCGCAGCAAGTCAAATGCAGCTGGGCTCTCCAGAGCCAGCAGATTGGGGGGTCCGTGGGTGCGGGCGCCCTCTGGAGGCCGAGCGGCTCTCAAACTCAGGGAAGAGGTCTCGGGCTCCCCCTGTCAGGCAGCGTCTGCTCTGCATTCCCAGGGTTTGCTCGTTAAATCTGCGCCTGCAGTGTGCATACACAGTCTGTGCCCCGGGGCTTACTCGTTCGTGCAACCAAGGTAGTGGGGCCTCTCAGGCTCCGTCCGCTCTTGTGGCGTAGTCAGAGGACACAGATGGGAGGAGGACTCTGCCTCACCAGGTGTGGACAGCATCCAGGTTCGGGCTGGATTCTCTCTCCAGACTGGCCTCACACACCTGGGGCTTCATCTCTGACTTGGCCTTCCCTAGGCCCCAGGTCTACCTTCTCCTTTCTTCAGACTGTCTCTAGCTCTATGTCTTTGGGTATGTCTGTGCCTCTCCTTGCCACTGTGCTCTCGACCTAGCTTTGTCCTTCCGAGTCTGTTCCTGTGTCCCTCCTTCCCTTTACACCTTGCGGTGCTCTCTCTCTCTCTCTCTCTCTCTCTCTCTCTCTCTCTCTCTCTCTCTCTCTCTCTCTCTCTCTCTCTCCCCCCATCCATTCTTATCTGTTTCTATTCTGCGGTTTAGTACCCGTCCCTGGGGAGTTGCAGCAACCCAACGGAACAGATCGCGGACACCTTGGGGACACTGCTCAGGGTCCCCTCCCATCAATTCCACGTTCCTGTCACCTCGAAGCGGCCTCTGTCTTCCCTCTGCAGCTGAGGTACTGGAGAGGGCGCCCGAGAGGAAAGCCACATGCCCTGCTTATGCTTAGGACCCCCGGGGGGCCCTTGACCCCCGCTGCCACTATTAAGGGCGCTGGGTCCCGAGGCTCTGAGATGATCATGATTGCAGCAGCCAGACAGAAGTGGAGCCAGGAGCCTGGCGGCAAGCAGGCTAGCAAGCGAGACAAAGACGCCTGCGCCGTCTGTTTATGCAAAGCGCTCACCGCTAGGGACCCTGGTGTCCCGGTGCCTTGCCCAGACCGGGACACAGGGTCATGAACCCACTTCTGCCCAGGGCTCCCTCTATGCCTGTGCATCCCCTCCTCCCTAACAGCCACGGGGCCACGGGGAGAGCAGAACAGGGAGGGGGCGGGGTGTTGATGTGATTGGAGAGGACGCGGCTGTTTCTTCAATAATGGATGGAGATGATGCGGACGGCGAGCCGGTCGGGAAAGGAGAGAGGAATAGAAATGGGGAGAGAAAGAAGCGGGGGCGGGAGGCTCAATCAGAGGCTCTCCTACACGGAGACGCTCGCACACGCGGGCGCGGGCGTCGTCACACTGTCATTCGGGTACATGCTGCCGCGCAGCTCACACCCAGGCATACGCCCACGCACTGTCACCAAGACACACACACCTGCAAGCAGAGACGCTAGAGCAGCGCGCGTGCGCGTCTGTGTACACACACACACACACCAGTGGTTCTTGAATTTCACACATAGGATCCTGGAGGCACCAACGCCTGCACACCGGGGCACATCCAGACTTAAACAACGCACAGACACATCGACATGTCAAAGCACGTTTGAAAGAACACTCAACACACCTAGCCACTTATAGACAGAAACCACAGAAATGGGGTAGACAAACCAGGCAGAATAGACACACAGGTACTGACAAAATCGGAACACATACATCTGGGGCTGGGACACAGACACGCATCACATCCCCAGACACACATACATACGCCATGCACCAGGAGCACAGAGAAAGGGACCCTTCCACAGGCATTCACGGGGCTGCACCCAGGCAACCGTGGGAGCTGCCATTTGTGCCCTGTGGGGTTGAGTGTGTGAGAGAGTTCGCTGGGGCAGGCCTTGTTAGCCCCCATTAGCCTAGCAATGCAATGAGGAAGTAGTGACAGGAGGTGCCTGGGGCTGTGGACTCAGAGGGCTACCGCACCCCCACCCCCTGCATGGCCCACAAGCTTCCTTCTCAGGCCCTCAGGTATAGACTCTGGCTGTCCCTGCTGCAGCAATCCCAGCAGACCCTGCCATCGCCAACTTAAAACACACGAGAGGGAGAGCATCAGCCCCAGAAGATCCCGCAGGAGCCCCAGCTGAGGTGAGGTGAGGGTTGGAGACAAAGTCAGTCCTATCTCACCTCCAGGCATGCTGCCCGATCATCTAAGAAGGCTCTCAGGATGTATCTTGTGTCCTGGACCCTGCCATACCCTGGCCCTTCCTCTGCTCTATTTTCAATTCAGCCTGCTCCTTGGCCCAGACTTATGACCTTTGCATCGGGTGGCAGCACCATCCATCAACCAGGCAGCTGGCTTGTGGGAGTGGGAGGCACCGGGGGCCAAACAGTGTCCCTGTCATACTTCCTGCCCTCTCCTGGGATTGGTCAGGGCTCAACTCAGCCGGCTGCATACTGAGGGGAAGGGCATGACCACCGGGTTCCATCAAGACACTATTCTCCATCCCTAGGGCCCCCGGTACCCCTCCTTCCAGTTGGGCGCAGCCTGTCTACCGGCTCCTCCCGCCCCCTTCTCTCGGGCCCTTTGCTTAATTTCCTATTAACTGCTGATAAATCCAATTAAACCGCCGCTCTAATTAGGGACAGCTGCCGGCTCGGTAAGGCGAGGGAGAAGGGGGGGCACCCTGCGAGTATAGGGAGAGAACAGCCGCTCTCCCTGCTCCTCGACACCCCTACACCAGCACTGCCGCCCAATGAGCCAGTAAATTGGTTTTGCTTCAGTATTTTTGGGGGGCTCCTGACAGTCCTGGGGGGCTCAGTTTTTGAGTCCCTCAGACCGCTTGATGAATACAGGCAGTCGGCACCCTCGTCCTTCTTCTTCTTGTTACTTGTGTAAGGAGACCGTCCGAGTGTCCCTCTAAGGTCCTGGCCTTCACACAGCCCGGTTTTCAGAAGTGACAGCCAAGGGCAAACGGAACAAGAAACTGAACCCAATTTTGCAGCGAGTTTTGTGTGCTTCCCTACCCCCAGCACACCTCATCTTTCTGTGCGGAAGGGGAGGGGGTGCCCGTCCCAGGGCCCTCCTCTTCCCAGCCCAGCTGAGCCTCTGCCCTCCCCCCCTCCTCCAGCAGCAGATGGTGCCCGGGCTCCCGCTGCCAACCTTGCTAGGCGGTGCCAACCTCAGTCCTGGCAGACAACCCATAGACTACAAGAGGAGCTTCTGCTGGCCAGGCCAACCCTCCCCCACCCGCTAGCAAACCCAAGACCCTCCGCCTGCCCGACTCCAGCGACCACCCCAAGCTGCTCCTCCACGGTCGGCTCCTAGGTCCCCAAACTCCTCGTCTCCTTCTGCTCCCTTCTGCACACCTTCCCGCTCCTCGCCACCTGCCGCCCTGACCAGGGCCGGCATATTTGCATATTTGCATATGCAAATAATAACATTTGCATGCGGCGCCCCGCAGGGGGGGGGGTCTCTGCTAGAACCGGTTAGCTGTCTGCCAGGCGTCCTCTAACTCCGTACCTGTCGGGAGAGGGCTGGGGGGCTGGGGCAGGGGCCGCGCGGGAGGGGTGAGGGCCCCCTGCCCCCGGTCTTGCTAGCTCCATTCCCTGAGGACTGGAGGAAGTGTTGCCATGGAGACGGCACGCACCCCACCCCCCTCCCAGGCCTAGGGTCTCAGGCTTGGTGTCTCCGGTTCTCTCCCCTTAGCCACCCCCCCCCCGCCCCTCCCATCCCTCCCTCCAACTGAGATCTTGCATCGCCCCCTGGCGGCCACGCCGGGCTCGGAGCCAGGTTCTGAACTGCAAAGATCTGATGGAGACACCTAGCCCTGCGCGATTTCTCCCAGCCACGGGGCGCTGGGGTGGCGTTCCAGTCCGGCTCTCCGCCCGCCCCGCCCCGCGCCCAGGAGAAGCCTAGGCGAGCGAGTGGCAAGTCTGCCCACTCCCGCCAGCCGTGGGTTTCCACATCCTGACGGTATGAGGTGGGGGCAGCCGGGGAGCATTCTTCCCCCTTCCGCAGGCCCCAAAGACCAACTTGTCTAACTTTTGTCAAAACTTTAATAAATTCTCAGCATGTGAAGTTCGGCCCTCGGCGCCTCTTTAGGAATACGCACCCCACCCCCTACCTCCCGCCCCTTGAAGGTCGGATGGGCCTGGAGTGTGGGTCAGCGCCCCGGGCCCCGGGCATTCGAAGCCCTAGGCAGTGGAGAGGTGGGAGGGAGACGGAGCTTCCCCAGACACATCCTCACGCCCCACCCCGGTAGACTCTCCAACCCTGCCCATCCAGGAGTCCAGTCACCACTTCCCTCCCCAGCCCGCACTGGGCCCGCACTGGGCCCGCCCAGGACCAGGTGTCTCCCGCCAGCAGGTGCCAGCCAGCACACCTAAATCTCCTCCAGGAAGTCGGTGGGGAACAGCCCCACCTTGCGGCCGGTGTAGACTTTGACGTAGCCGCCAGCTTCGTCTCCTTTCTGCACCACGATCTAGGGAGTTAGAGGGTTGGGGAGCAGGGGCTGGATTAAGGACGGGAGAGCCGGGTGGGAGAGGGGCGACTGCACGAAGGGCTCATCTCCCACGAGTGTGCATGGTGTTACGTTGGGTACCCGAGCTACCTGGTCTTTCTTCAGCGTGATCTGCCCGATCTCGCGGTTCCCCACAAAGGATCTGGTTACACGGTGCACACGTTCTCCAGCCCGGACCCGGATGATGAAGTTTGGAGGGAAGAATCCCACCTTCTCTCCGATTTTCCCCTAGGGAAGGGAGTAGGTAGGCTGACATCTCAGGTTCTAGACCCTCCCCACAGCCCACCTTGGCTCTAGCCGTTTGTCTCACCCGCCACCACTCCTCATTGGAGTCGTCGATGACTGTGATCTTCTCCCCGGGCCTGGGACAGGAAGGAGAGCGCTCTGTGATTTATATTCACAGAGTTGCAAGCACGGCTCCAAAACAGCAGCCCACGGCGCCCGCCCTTCTCCATTCCCATAGAGAGCTCATTTCTTCCTCCTCAGCGTCCCCCACGCACTCCCGCCTCCCTCGAAGGCTTCTCACGGGAAATCCAGATCATCCTTCTCCAAGGCTTTGAACCGATAGAGAGCCACGAAGTAATGAGACTGCTGGAAGCCAGGCTGCTTGTGCTGGGGGGTGGGAAGGGGGATGAGTTAGTTTCCGGACTCCTTCACCAATTCTTCGGGAGAGGAGTTCATTGGGTTTTGTGTGTGGGTCTCAGCGTGGACAGCGGGTGGAGGGTGATGGGAACAGCTGAGGATGCCGTAAATGAAGCCAAACCTTGACTCGGAAGAGGACCAGGGTTCTACAGGTAGACACGACTCTTACTTTGTCATCTGGGGTTTTGTTCTCAGCCTTCTTGTCCTTTTCTGCATTGTTTCCTTGGATGGGAAATATGAACAACTTGCTTCTGCCTCCAGGAGGGCATCCATCATCCTTTCCCTTAGGACTTTTTCACCCTGGCCCAACCTTTCCCTCCCCACCACACAGCAGACAGACCCTTGACCACACTGACCCCATGCCGTCTCTGTGGATGGAGAGGGGTGGAACTACTCACTCACCATCCTGGGACTTGCCTTCCTCTGGCCTGGCTGACTCTGGCTCCTCCTCCATCATGGCCGCTAGAGGCTGGAGGGGACACCAGAATTAGAGAGAATCTGTCCCAGGTAGCTGTGTTTTCCCTGCCTCTCCAGGCAGGCCAGAGAGTTGTAGAACAGTAATAGCATCTAAGCATTGAAAATATCAGTCCAACCACCAGCCTGATGTGGGAAATATGCTGGCTGACAGGCTACCTGCATTGTGCCCAAATACAGTAATGACAGAGAGTTCACTACCTTACAATATAAGCCCATGTGACTTTCCTTCTCAAATTCCTTTTATTAAGCCTATATCAGCCTCCCCATTATCTGTCGTTATTTCTCTGGATTTGCCTTCTTGGGGCTTTAACCGTGAAACAAACACAGTTTCTAATTTCTAAGGACAGCGGACATATCCTTTCTGGCTTCTCTTCTCCACTAATTTTCAGTCCCCGCAAATCACGTTATGATAGAGATTTCAGGTCCTTCATTGTACTGTCTGCTTAAAAATCCTCTAGTGTGTAAGACAGGGTGTGTGTGTGGGCACAGCAGTTTTCTCTCTCTCTCTCTCTCTCTCTCTCTCTCTCTCTCTCTCTCTCTCTCTCTCTCTCTCTCTCTCTCTCGTTATTTTGAGGTGGTCTCATGCAGCCCAGCTGTCCTCAAACGCCTTATGTGGCCAGAGTGACCTTACATTTCTAATCTGTCCCCTAGCTTCAACACGCTAGGACTTCAGGCATGCGTCACTTCACCTGTCTGACAACACAGTTTCCCCAGTTCCCTCTTAAGAACTGAACTGAAGAACATGGATGTTTTTCCTGAACCAGCCTTGTCATTCTTAGTTCAATTGACTGAAATCTGTCATCTATGCCCAAGTTTTAGATCAACTACTTGGAAATTAGATCTCTAGTTTTGTTTCCAGGAAGTTTTTGTTGTTTTGTTTTTACCACAAGAAAAGTAAAATTTTCTCTTATGGACTTTCAAATTATTATTATTATTATCAAGACAGAGTTTTTCTATGTAACAGCCCTAGCTGTCATGGAACTCATTTTGTAGTCCAGGCTGGCCTCAAGCTCACAGAGATCCACCTGCCTCTGTCTCCCGAGTGCTGGGATTTCATGCAGCTGAACTTTAAAGTTAATAAAGCCAGGCAAGGCTGGTGCATGCTTCCAGTTCCATCACCAGGTTGCAGAGGTGGGAGGACTGGGAATTCAAGGGCAGACTGGGCTGCAGAGCAACTTAGAGGAGGACGGGCTGCATAGCAAGACCCTTAGAGCAGAGCACGTTAGGGACGTAGTTTAGTTGGTGGACTGCTTGCCTAGCGTGCACGAAGCCCTGCTTTTGATCCCTCCCATCACATAAAGCAGGTGTGATGGCATGTATCTGTAACCCCAGCACCTGGGAAGCAAACGCAGGAGGATCCAGATCATCTTTAGCTAAAGGAGACTCTGATGCTGGTTTAGGGGGTAGAGCTTGCTGGAACGTGGTAGTAGTAAAGAATGCTTCCTGTTGGTGGCACACGCCTTTAATCCCAGCACTTGGGAGGCAGAGGCAGGTGGATCTCTGTGAGTTTGAGACCAGCCTGGTCTACAGAGTGAGTTCCAGGAAAGGCTCCAAAACAATACAGAGAAACCCTGTCTCAAAAAACAAAACAAAGCAAAACAAAAGAATGCTTGCTGTTTTCTCTCCAAGGTTTTGTTTACTGTTATTTATTGTATGTTACTTTATGTATTGTTATTTTTTTATTTTTTATTTTTGGTTTTTCGAGACAGGGTTTCTCTGTGGCTTTGGAGGCTGTCCTGGAGCTCGCTCTGTAGACCAGGCTGGTCTCGAACTCACAGAGATCTGCCTGCCTCTGCCTCCTGAGTGCTGGGATTAAAGGCGTGGGCCACCACCGCCCGGCTATGTATTGTTATTTATTGTATGGGTCCTTTGACTGCACATATGTCTGTGCACCATGTGCATGCCTGGTGCCCACAGAGACCACAGAACTGGGATTGCTTTAGCTAACATCAACTATATCGTTCGTAAGGTTGTCCAGGGAGACATTAATCCTTGCCCAGGCAAACACAGTTCTGGCATTACCAAGTCTGTAACTCTATTGTAAAAGACAAGGAGCCTGCCCTCGACCAGTGGTAGCTTTGTGCCTGTTTCATTCACAAGATGAACAGGTCGCATCGGATGATCTTCACGGACACCTGCTGGCTCTAGAATGAAAACACACAGATCTTGCCTGTTACTTGAAGTGCCCAGGTCAGGGACTTAGCCTTCTGTGGTACCTAATCATTAGTTTTAGAAGGACTTAAGGAAGAATGCACTATGGTTGGAGTGAGTTTGTTTTTCAATGTTGAGCATTAAACCAGGATGCCTTACACATACACACTAGGCAAACACTTCACCACAGAGCTATATTCTCAGCCCTGTGGCAGGAATTCTTTTTCGTTTTTCTTTCTGGTGAGGTACATAAAGTACCCCCACCCCCCCCCAAAAAAATCTAAGATTTCCCACAGGAATGTTTCTGCTTGGTAATGCTGCACCATTTGTGGGCAGCGCATCCATAGCTTCTACCGTCTTTCCCAAGGGGGAAATGACCTTCCTATGGAGCTTCTGCCACGGGCCTCCGTGGGCACATATGGTACTCACATTTTTCTTATCTGCCTGTCCTTTCTTCCGTTCCTTGTTTGCCATGATCACCCCGACGCGCAGGGTCTCAAACACAGGGTCATTGCGATTGGCAGCAGCTAGTAGGATGGGGGGAGAAAATACATTATGGGAAGGCAGAGGAGGGCCTGCAGGAGAGAGCTCTCAAAGGGACATCTGCAACTCACAGGGATTTATTGGGGGTTGAAGATGAAGAGAACAGGCAGGGCCAGCAATCTATAAAGGGCTCTAAAACACTATGGGGAATGTTTGTGATGGGGCTGCTTCCAGGAGAGCACCATGAGCTGGCTTTTGTTCGGCTGAGTGGCGCGTGTGCAAGCCAGGGTGCTGCCACCAGCAGTCTTTTGAACCCATGCTATTCATGCTCTTCTCTGCCAAATGCATTTGAGTAGTTTTCAGTGAATACATGTGTTTTCTTTTCCAAGACAGTTTCACTATGTAGCCCTGGCTACATATGGGAATCAGGGAGATCCGCCTGCCTCTGCCTTGTGAGTGCTGGGATTAAAGGCGTGGACGGACCATTACTGCAACCTCAATGAATCTACTGTTTTTTTTTTTTTTTTTTGGAAATCTACTGTTTTTTAAAAAGGCTGTTTATTATAGAATCAGTGTTCTGTCTGCATGCATGCTTGCAGGCCAGAAGAGGGCACCAGATCTCACTATAGATGGTTGTGAGCCACCATGTGGTTACTGGGAATTGAACTCAGGACCTCTGAAAGAGCAGCCAGTGCTCTTAACCTCTGAGCCATCTCTCCAGCTCCAATGAATCTACTTTTAAGGGACCTTGTCCAGGAGGACATCCGTAGCTCATGGACTGGCCCTGAGTGTGGTATCACCCTGTAACAGGGAGAAAACAGACTGGAATCCTTGTTCTTGCGAAGCAATAGTTTGAAAGGAGCAGACGATGGTTTCATCCTTATCTCTACCTCTGACTGTTTGTGGTCCTTGCCCACTCATGTCTCTCTCAGCTGTAAACCAAGGGCAAGTCCAAAACCACCTCTGAAAATACTAGACTGAGGGAGAACTATGGACACAGGACAACTCCATTTCAGAGTTTACTTTCCAGAGAGGTGGTGTGACACCACCCCTGAGGCTTGCCCACGCCCTCAGGTCCTATACGGGCACTTACAGAGATCTTTGACACAAGCGTACTGTTGGTTGCTGTAGAGTGGAGAGCTATAGGCACGACGGAAACCAGGAGGCTGCAGGGTGCGATGGGGAAATCTGTTACAAGTAGCAAGGTGGGGTCCAGAATCCCCTCCCCCATGGGTGCTCAGCCATTCTCAGAGGAAGGGGTGGGCTGAGAGAAAGCAGGGGAATGTATGGGATGGCTTCAGGGGCCAGCAGGCAGGTGGAGGCTGGGCCTCCTCTCCCCAGAGCTTAGTTACTCACGATCTTGCCGAAGCACCTCTGCATCTCCACATAGGACTGGCAGTGTTCGTGGATGTTGGTTTTGCAGTTCTTACAGCGGAGCCCAAACTTGTTATTGACTTGGGGGTGGGGGAGAACATTTGAGTAACGGTCTGGATACCCTTTCCCTTGGAGCCACTGTAGCTACTTCAGTTTTGACTGGTCTGCCCTCTTCTGGCACCCTACGCTATTGATGTATTTTCCTAGGGTGCTTCTCACCACAATGTGTCTGTTACAGACACCCGCAAGGCTTTGCTAAGTCCTCTCCCACCCCATAAGCCTTCCATCTTACTGTTTCTACTCCCCTTCAAGACTCACGCACAATCATCCGGGCACAGACATCACAGAACTTGGGCTTCTTGAAGAAGTGATCTTTGAATTTGTGGGGCTTATCGTTGACAAGCTGAGGGGGTTCTGGGGGTGGTTCCTCCTCCTCCTCCTCTTCCTCTTCCTCCTCATAGATATAGTAGATAGGCCCACCCCCAGCCCCCACTGCCTCTCCATTGACCTGGGGCTCTGGGGAAGGCTCCATCTCAGTTGTCTCTGGAGAGCCCTTCTTGAATATCTGCTTCAGTCGTTGTAGCTGAGGGAGGGGGTGAAGGAAACTCAACGTTAAATGATGGTCACTTTCTCCTTTTTCTGTCATGGGAAAGCAATGCCCCTGATTAGTGGATTGAGGCTACCAGTGTTGGCTAGTCCATACACAAGTTGGATCTATTCAATCAGCTGTCGTCACGTTATCAAGGCTTCCCAGCCCCTACGACACCTCTGCCCAGTGATCAAAAGTGCAGACTCACCCGACTTTGCGGAGTCTCTGCTGTGAAGGGGGACTTAGGGGACTCCAGTACCTCCTTTTCTGTCATCCTGCAAGAGGTGGGAGCCCACCATGAGATCTAATCCCTAACTGCCTGTTCTACTCCTGTATTCCTGCTGCACAGTGGGGTGGGGTAGCCCTCCAAGGGGAGGCTTTGAGAGAAACCCGGTTAAACAGTCTTTGGTAGAGCTTGTGAACAGACTCTACAGAGGCCCAGAAAAAAAGCAGAAGACTTCCCAGCCAGTCCTAGTTTTCCAAGTCAAGGGGCAGCTCCAGGCTACAAACCCAGTAGCTGCTCAAGGCTGTTGGCTTCTGTGGGTTATCCAAAACCAGTGGTTCTCAACTTCCTACTGCTGCAACAGTTCCTCAGGTTGTGATGCTCTCCAACCATAAAATTATTTCGTTGCTACTTCATAACTGTAATTTTGCTACTGTTATGAATTGTAATATGAATATCTGATATGCAGATCTGACATGCAACCACGCACACATTGAGAGCCACCGTCCTACACGTACTTGTGATTGATGCAAAACACACGTCTTCAAGCTTAACCCGTGTCCTTGTCTACATGTATGAAGGCGTGTCCTGAGAGCTGCCCTCCCCTGCCCCTCTCCTGAGCCTTGGGGGCCGTGTGCCTAGTTCTGTCCTGGCCTGCCTCAGGCCTCTGCTATTTTGGTTTTCGGAGTAATATGAGCCTTCCTTCCCTTACTGCTCCATTCTCAGGACCCCACCACAGCTACCCCACCTCCAGTCTTTACTCCTCAAGTATAACAACTTCACTTGGAAAATTCAAACTACTCACAGGTAAGGACAGAAATGAAGAAGCCAAACACTCAGGAAATGAAAAGACGAAGAGACAACTTACTTTTGAGACTCCCTAAGTCAGTTCAGTGTGGAAACAGGGAGTCCCTAAGAACTCGATGGTATTGCCGGGGGAGGGCTAGTCCTCTTCCTCTGGGGATAAGCCCCCAGTACCTTCTGGGCTCACACCAGCTACTCAGACAGTGTTGGTAGGCCTCCTAGTCTCTCACCATGGTGGCAGAGCTGGAATGACAGGGCTGGAGGACAGTGGACAGCTGGGAGCACAGCTGACAGGCAGAAATTAGAACCAGGAGGTCTGGGGCAGGGCTGGACCGACTCCTCCCATTCCTCCCATCTCTCCAGAGCTGCTCTTCCCAGTGTTTACGGTGAGCCATGCTGACCATGTGTTTGACCACCAAGCTATAACCCTGGCAGGAAAGGGGCCTCTGTTCCCCATACTCACTCACGTTATTTAGACCGTGAAGTCAGCGCCACTGCTATATACTATCCCTTTAACATTCAAATAACCTTTCCAATTCTACTCTCCCTGGGCTCACTTGTCACTTTCTTGGGTTTTGTTTCCTTTATTTTTTGTTTTTTTGAGACAGAGTTTCTCTGCATAGCCTTGGCTGTCCCAGAACTTGCTCTTGTAGGCCAGTCTGGGCTAGAATTCTGAAATCTACCAGCCTCTGTCTCCCAAGTGCTGGAATTAAAAGGTGTGCATCACCATGCCTGGCTAATCCCAAAACTTCAGGCCAGGAAAGGGCTGGGAGCTGAGGAGGGTATGTGAGTCAGAAGTTAGTCAACCACACAAGACTGCACCTTCCTCTACAGCTGAGCGGGTGTATACTGCTACCTGATTCCTTCACAAGTGCACAGAGCACCTTTCTCCTCTAAAATTCCATCCTCAAGGAGAAGAGAATATAAGAGTTACCGAGAAAGATGGTGGCAAAACCCAAAAGCCATGGGGGTGGAGCGATGGCACAGCTTCTCACCCAGAGGCCTCGGGTCGGTTTCCAGCACCCACACATCACTGCGACTCAGTTCCAGAGGCTCTGCATCCTCTTCTGTCCTTTGCAGGCATCAGGCACACACACACACACACACACACACACACACACACACACACACACACACACACACACACGTAGGCAAACCATTTGTATACATAAAATAAAAATAAATCTTAGCCGGGCAGTAGTGACACACGCCTTTAATCCAGCACTTGGGAGGCAGAGGCAGGTAGATCTCTGTGAGTTCGAGGTCAGCCTGGTCTACATCCTGAGTTCCAGGACAGCCAGGGCTACACAGAAGAAACCCTGTCTCAAAAAACACAGAAACAAACAAAAAGCCAGCTGGCACTAGAGGTCTAAGAGGCAGATGATAGTTGACCCCGGAAAGGTTTCAGCTGCCTGTGGTCTTTTTTCTTTCTGAATGTATGTGAGTGCAAGTGTGGGCGGTCTGAGAACAACTCTTGCAGTCAGTTTTTCCTTCAACTTTGTGTGATCCAGAGATTGAAGTCTACCAGGCTTGTACACAAGCCGCTCTACTGCTATTAACCAACCTCAGCTGTGCACTTCTTTAGTGAGATTTGTTTTTGTTTGTTTTGTTTTTAGAGACAGGGTTTCTCTGTATTGTTTTGGAGGTTGTCCTGGAACTCACAGAGATCCGCCTGCCTCTGCCTCCAGAATGCTGGGACTAAAGGCGTGCACCACCAATGCACGGCAGTGAGATTTATTTATTTATTTTGGTTTTTCGAGACAGGGTTTCTCTGTAGCTTTGGAGGCTGTCCTGGAACTCACTTTGTAGACCAGGCTGGCCTTGAACTCACAGAGATCCGCCTGCCTCTGCCTCCTGAGTGCTGGGATTAAAGGCGTGTGCCACCAACGCCCGGCGTGAGATTTATTTTTAAAAATACATTTAAATACATTAACTACATGCTGCATATTTATTGGTGCATGTCTCTTAACATGAGTAGTGACAAAAGGACAACTTACCAGTCAGCTTTCCCCTTGTTGTGGGATCAAACTCCGGTTGCTAGGCTCAGCAGCAAGCATTTACCCAGTGAGCCACTCTGAGGGTCACAGAATGAGTTGTTATCATCTATAAATAATGTTCCCTTCCCTTGTGAGATCTGTATCCTCTAGAAGCTAAAGACAGACAAGCCTTACAGCTTTAACCTCATTTATTTACCTATTTATTTATTTGGTTTTTGAGACAGGGTTTCTCTTTGTAGCCTGGGCTGTCCTGGAACTTGGTCTGTAGACCAGGCTGGCCTCCAACTCAGAGATCCGCCTGCCTCTGCCTCTAGGAGTTAAAGGTGTGCGTCACCACCACTGCCTGGCAGCGTCTATTATTTTAATTGCAGTTCTAACCTCTCGACTCTTGATACCCAGCACAGGCCGATGGAGTAGCTGAATTCTCTATCTGTGGGTTATCAGACAGAGGACAGCCAAAGCAAGCCTTTGTTTTTAAGAAAGTCTCACTATGCAGTCCTGGTTGTTCTGGAACTTGCTATGTTCATGCTGGTCTTAGACTCAGAGTTTTGCTTGTCTGCTTCCTAGTACTGTGATTAAAGGACGGTATGTGCCAACATGCTCACACCCAACACCCAGAGACAGACAGACAGACAGACAGAGAGACACACAGAGACACAGAGAGAGAGAGAGACAGACAGACAGAGAGAGGGAGAGAGAGACAGACAGACAGACAGAGGGGGAGAGGGAGGGAGAGAGAGAGAGAGAGGGAGAGAGAGACAGACAGACAGACAGACAGAGAGAGGGGGGGAGAGGGAGGGAGAGAGAGAGAGAAAGAGAGAGAGGGAGAGAGAGAGAGACAGACAGACAGAGAGGGGGGGAGAGGGAGGGAGAGAGAGAGAGAGAGAGAGAGAGAAAGAGAGAGAGGGAGAGAGAGAGAGACAGACAGACAGAGAGGGAGGGAGGGAGGGAGAGAGAGAGAATGCAGTATGGCTTTGGGCTCTTTACTGGCGCTGCTCTGCCAGGCTGTAGCACTGAGATGGCCTGAAGACTCTGCAGTCAACTTCTTCTTGCACGAGGGACAAGGACAGGTGTGTGTGCTACGCTGACACAGCTGGGCACTGCAGCTGGATTTATGGACATCCACATGTGTTTGCCCAAGAACCTGACTCTTGGCTTTTAGGATTAGAGGTGCAATTTCCACACCCTGAAGGGTGCTTCAGAAGACAGAAAGGAGGCCAGCCTCTTGACTCAGTTCTGGACTTGACTCGTCCAGCTCAGTAGCAAGGCTGCAGTGAGTGGCAGATTAACGGGCAAGAAGGAACCTCTGATACAGACATAAAGGCCCACAGCTGAGGAGCAACGTGCTTGATGAAGAGCAGTTTGCAGTTTGAGAACCACAGACCACAGCTCCAGAGACCCAGCCAACTATCAGAATTGTGTACCGGAAAGAGGAGGGGCCAGAAGGAAGAGGTTAGGGAAATCTATGTGCACACGCTAGGGAAATCGTCTAAGCGACAGAAGCCTTCCAGCAATTGTGGAAGTGAACTGTTCAGAGCCTCTAGCCCAACTCACACTCACACCAATCGTCAACAGAGACAGTGATTGATGCCCAGTGACAGGTTTTTGCTTTTTTTATATTTATAAACAAAACCAACCTCCCCCCAGTAACTCCCCGAACAAACAAAAAACCAGATTAAATAAAATGTACAGTGAATACACCCAGCAAACATCTGTATGTGCAATTGAATACTGTGTCTGTTACTGTGGCACAAACCCCAAACAAACAATATACAGTGTTCTGGGGATGGGGTCCCAGGTTTTAACTCTGTGGGGTTTGGGGAGGCAAGAAGGGGAAGTGAGAGAATGGGGAAATCAATTTACTTTTCTTAATTCTGTCCATATAAATATATTCATGAAGACCAGAGAGGAGGGGAGACTGGGTGGTGAGGAAATGGGAGAAGAGGGGAGTGTGGGACCCTTTCAATTCTACTTGACCAAAAAATATGAAAGAAATTACTTCCATGGTAGGAGAAGATAAAAAAAATGGCAGAAGAGGATGGGAAGGAGGGAAACAGAAGGGGACCAAAGGGAAAAAAGGGACCCATGGCAAGGGAGTGGAAAGGAGTCCCATGCCGGTGTGAGAATCTGTCTGCTTCTCTCTTCAGCCATAAGGTGGTAGACTCCGGTCCAGTTCTGCCTCGGCCCACTCCTACTGTGCCAGCCCCTCCTCCCCCATTTACTGGGAGCTGGCTCGCTCCAGGATCCTCAGGTCGTAGTTCTTTTTGGCCACTCGAAGTTTGAAGCGACTCACAGAGTTGTTGAGGCGAAGGGAGGCGTTCTGGGCAGCCAAGGGGCTGGGGAACACGGCCACTATAGTGTACAAGGCAGCGAGGTCCGCGTGTCGGCCATTCTCAGCAGTCCCACTGTTGTCCCCACCACCTGCACCAGGCAGCCCCTGAGCATCCTTCAGCCACTGGATCTTGGCACCAGCCATGGCAAGCTGGGTGAAGAGTTTGTCTGCCTCTGTACGAGTGATTCCTTCAGGGAGGTCTGTCACCTCCAGCACCCTCCCCAGCACTGAGAGCGGAGGAAAGATGAAGCAGTGTGAGGCCCGGGCACTGACTGTACGTGGCCTGGCAGAGTCACTGACCTAGCCAGACAAGAAAAGTCCTGCCTCTCCCATTTAACTTCCCCACATCAGCCCAGCTTATCCTCATGGAGACTCTGGGGTGGGGGGTGTTGGAGCAGCTAGACAGACACAGACCCCTCCTCTCTCTAGCCCAGAGATACAAATAAGGACTGAGGATTAGAACTCCACTCCTTTACAGGGGGTGTACAGCTGTCAACAGCTGTAGAATGTGGAGTCCCAAAGACCTTGTATGCCTAGCATGGAAGGCCTGAGGAAGAAAGCTCCTCTCCCATGCTCTCCACCAACCCCAAATCTGGTCTAGGATGACCAAGGGAGATGTCCTAAATTAGGAAACTGCTTATCGAGAGGCATAGCCACTCCTGTCATCGTGCTATAACAAATGTCTATGATGGTCTACCTCAGGACCCTGGATGGCTTGCTCAGGGACAGATACTTCACTTCTCTACCTTTTGCCTGTTCATAAGCAAAGACAACTCCATTTTCCTCACTCCACACCAGCTTCCCCACTCCGCTGAGATGGCAATGAAGGGCATTTCTTTCCGGGGTCGGGAGTCCAGCTACTCACCGACATCTGCTGTCCCTAGGTCAGTGGAGGCGGATTTCAGTGCCTGTCTCTTGCCTCGGTTTCCGTGCTTCAATCCACTCTGTCCCTTTAACATCCAAGTGAATAACATTTACTGCCCTGTGTCCCAGTGTCTGCCCAAAGGCTAAGGAGCAGCACTCCACCCTGAGGGTCTGCCTCGCCATATAGTTAGGTTTCCCAGGGAGTGGCAACTGGACACAAAACCTCTCCCTCTCCCTCTCCCTCTCCCTCTCCCTCTCCCTCTCCCACTGACGTGGGAGTCATGAGCAAAGGAGTGGGTAAAACTCCTTTTTACTGTGCCCATCTGTGTTATCTTCTGTGTCCACTCCACTGGACACAGATAAAGCAGATGGCTCACAGACAGGAGACC